TCCTGTAGAACGTGCATGGTGTAATTCTGGAGACGCCTATGTCCTGTAGAACGTGCACGGTGTAATTCTGGAGACGCCTTTGTCCTGTAGAACGTGCACGGTGTAGTTCTGGAGACGCATTTGTCCTGTAGAACGTGCACGGTGTAACTTCTGGAGACACCTTTGTCCCGGGAACGTGCACGGTGTAATTCTGGAGACGATTTTGTCCTGTAGAACGTGCATGGTGTAATTCTGGAGACGCCTATGTCCTGTAGAACGTGCACGGTGTAATTCTGGAGACGCCTTTGTCCTGTAGAACGTGCACGGTGTAGTTCTGGAGACGCATTTGTCCTGTAGAACGTGCACGGTGTAACTTCTGGAGACACCTTTGTCCCGGGAACGTGCACGGTGTAATTCTGGAGACGATTTTGTCCTGTAGAACGTGCATGGTGTAATTCTGGAGACGCCTATGTCCTGTAGAACGTGCACGGTGTAATTCTGGAGACGCCTTTGTCCTGTAGAACGTGCACGGTGTAGTTCTGGAGACGCATTTGTCCTGTAGAACGTGCACGGTGTAACTTCTGGAGACACCTTTGTCCCGGGAACGTGCACGGTGTAATTCTGGAGACGATTTTGTCCTGTAGAACGTGCACGGTGTAGTTCTGGAGACACTTTTGTCCTGTAGAACGTGCATGGTGTAATTTCTGGAGACACTTTTGTCCTGTAGAACATGCACAGTATAATTCTGGAGACATCTTTGTCCTGTAGAACATGCACAGTGTAATTTCTGGAGACAACTTTGTCCTATAGAATGTGAATGGTGTAATTTCTGGAGGGCTAATTAGTCCGAGATGGGCCACTCGCTGTTGACGTCAGGCAAATTAGAGGTCCCACTATGGCGATCTGAATAGAAACAATCTGCGTAACTAGACTTAAATCTTGAAAAGCGTGATGTAATTACTGTAGAGGCTGCTCTGCCAGCTATTCATTGGCTCTTAAATTGCAGCGTTGTGATGTTAGAACACAAGTGTTTAAAAAACCAAACCCACTGCCACCGAGTTGATTCCAACTCATAGAGACCCTATAAGAGCCCCTTTTTAGCGGAAAATCCTCTAGAGCTTCCCCTCCTAAAACATGCCCCAATTCCATTCCTTTGGGGAGGCCCAGTCTTTAGTGGAAAGAGGATTCAGGTAGGTGTGCTGATTTGTTGCCTGCTTGCTCCGGGCTGAATTCTCTCCAACAGGCATCTCTTGGTTTTTGTGTTTCTAAGATAGAGGAAGCACATGTCTGGAACATTCTTCAAAGTATGCAGGGTGACTACAGAAAATAGGCTTCTGGGAGGGAATCGTACTAATAATAAATCCCGTGTGAACTTGATTATCATTTAGATTACTTGTTCAATAGGGAAAATGAAGCTTTGCAGTCAGTGCTGTAGACAAGGGCTCAGTGTGGAGGAAACACAACCCTGCTCATATACAACCCATCGCCCTGGCGTCGGGGTGAGGTTTGGGGATGCTGTCAGCTGTCTGAGTATTGAGGCCACCTGTCTGTGCACACGTGCGCATGTGTATGTGAGCTGGGGGTTGTCATGAACACCCACATGTGTTTCTAGAGATTAATGAGATGTCGGGACTCAGCTGCTGCCCCAGAGTGGCCCAGCAGCCCCCAAATCTCTGTGCCTCGCTGTTTGCTGACTTCGAAACAGGTAAGTGTTTAAGCAAGCCTGGCCTTGCCAAATCCAGTTAACAGCAGGCCCTGTAGTTAGGGTACAGTCATGAGCCAGGAAGCAAGAGAGTCTGAAAAAAAATAAAATAAAATGGATTTTCCAGAAATACCAACCAAAAAAAAAAAACCAAACCCATTGCTGTCAAGTCAATTCCAACTCATAACGACCCTACAGGACAGAGAGGAACTGCCCCATGGGGTTTCTAAGGAACAGCCGGTGGATTCAAACTGCTGACCTTTTGGTTAGCCGCTGTAGCTCACCGTAGCTCTTAACCACTGTACCACTAGGGCTCCTCCAGAAATAACGAAATGGGAAATTTACCTCAGTAATTTTATTGGAAAAAAAAAAAATCTATTTAAATGATCGTTATTGTGTGCCGTCAAGTCAATTCCAACTCATAGTGACTCTATAGGACAGAGTAGAACTGCCCCACAGGGCTTTCTTGACTGTGATGTCTACAGGAGCAGATCGCCAGGTCTTTGTCCCTCAGAAGTGGCTAGTGGGTTCTAACCGCGTCTTTCAGTTAGCAACCTAGTGTCTTAAACTCTGTGCCAGCAGAGCCTCTTATCTGAATGATAATGGGCGGTGAATACAACTGCAGCTCCCTTTCCGCCATATTCTTGCTTTAGAACACAGGAAGCCTCAAGGAAAATCCATAACGAGCCTTAAGCAGGCTGAGAATTGTTCTCACTAGTCACTTTAATTTATGAAGGCAGAATTTCCACAAGAAGGGAATCGACTCCTGGACTTCAATGTGTTTCTGAACAAAGCGTGTGCAGGAAGACTTTCCATCCCATGAAATGAGATCCCCAACGCGTCCTGCTGCGAATGTCTGGAAGAGCTGGCTCTTGTTACGGGCTGGTCTACGTGGGCCTGATGCCATTCTGCCCGGGCTCACCCTTCCCCCTGCCTGCGGTCTGGGTGCACCCCTTTCTCTTTCAAGACTCAGCCCTCCTGTCTCCTGCTATGGGGTCTCCCCAGGCTCTCTTCCCTGGGAGACTGTCCACTCCCTCCATGAGGCCTCCGTCTCCCCCTGTAGACTTCAGTCCTGGCCTCCAAAGCGCCTGTGTATCTGGCTCTCACCCTGGACTCTGAGCTCTGTGTCTTGTTTATCCTTGTGTCCCTACTGCCTATCACCAAGGAGGTAAGAAAAGAACAACTGCTAAATGAATGAGTCACTCACATCCAAAGCCTGGGAGTCGTCCTCGATTCTTCTCTCCCGGCCCCATAACTCATCTTTCTACATGTCCTGGGTGGGATGAATCCCGAGCCCTCCCACATCTCTGCAATTCATCAAATGGGCTTGGTGCTGTTAGGAAAACTCAGAGTCAACAGCCACCGAGGCAAACCCTTCCCCAGGGTGTGGGGTCCAGCCCACAGCTGGGGAGGGCCCTCTTGGATGCAGACCTGCTGGTTTTGCACCTAACAGGGGCTGCTGGGTCCGGCAGGCTGAGAAGATGTCAGGAAACAAAACAGTGGAGGTGCCAGAGAGCTCACATTAGCTTTGTTTCCTCTTAGAAATAACAACAGAGCTTAACAGTGGTATCAGGTGCTTTAAAGAACCAAACTAAAAGAAAAAAAAACAAAACCTTATTTCACAGAGTTCACCACATGAACTGAATTGCCATTAGGACCGTCTTACAAATGCAGTTTGCAATGTTTTTATCTCGGTGGGACACCCTCCATGTGTCTACTTCGCCTCGCCCTGGCCTTAACTAGCTCCCAAGGAATGCTCATCCTGACCTAAGTCTAATTCTTGGTATGAGGGCCTTCTCCCTGTCTGAGTAGGAGTCTTCTAGCGATAAGACATCTGCTCGCCTAAGGCCTTACTGACTCCGCGTTTCTTTGGAGATGCGGTTGGGATTCTTCTGTGGCCCTAGGCTCTGGCCAGGCCCAGTGGGTGGACACGGGAGACATCCTGGCCCATCGGTGGCGGTGCTGATTGTCCCTGCTCTTGAGGCCCCTTTCCAAACGCTGGTAGCATGTTGCTTTAATTGGAAGGTTCTTCTCGATTCTTTCACCTTTCTCCTATTTCTCCTCTGAATCTTGTCTCTGAAGTAATGGTGCCATTTTTTTCTTTTATGTTTAAATAACTAGACAGAGTACATGCTTGCCACTGTGTTGTTTTCTGCTTTGTAAATCAGTAGCTGTGTTCTATTTCTCCAGGAGAAAGAGCATCTGAACTTCTTAGTGTTCATGTCTCTATCCCACTTTCTTGGATATTCCTGGAAAATTCTGCATGTTCTCAAACCAGAGAAGTCTTTGCTTGTTCCACTGGAGGGCTGAGCTGTGGGGGGAGGCCCAGCTGTAGGAGGCTAAGAGGACCAGATGGGGGTCTTCCCTGGGATCACAGCCCACTCCAGCTCTGAGGCTAGCAAGGACGTGAGTGCCTGTCTGCTTATGGTGGATGAAGGTCAGAGGAGCTGGTTACTGTCCACATGTTCCAGAAAGCATGCCAGCTGCTCAGATACACCCCCATACAACAAGTACCCCAGAAGCATGTATTGGCTAATCTATAGGGCTGAGAGCCCCATGGGGATTTCAGAGTTATTGGAGAAGGCCCGTGGGTACACACGATTTTGTTAACACATACCACTTTTAAGTGTGCTATCTGTAAACATCGTTGTCATTAGTAATATGTAGTTAACATTGAAAAGCAGTCCAGATTCCTAGTGGTTTGGCCATTGCATACTTTCTCAATCCAAGGACACTAAATGTATATTTCCATCATATTGTCATCCACTGCATTTTCAAACGTTCGAAGAGGGACAAGGTGATCATCACCATGTAGAGGCTGTGTATCCCTGCTCTCCAGAGGGCTATAGGCTGGAGTGAAAACTCCTGCTCTCGTAAGTGCTCGGGGATAGCGGGACATGTCGTTGTCCTAGAGGCATCATAAACCTGCTGTGGAGATCCTTCTGCGGGTGAGATGGCCTTGCACCCCGGGGTGATGCCGAAGCACATTTTAACGCCACCCTGGCACTTCTGCCAGGAAACCATGACTCTGTTGCTAAATGGAACATCCAAAGAAGTCTCTCTCTCTGAAGTAGGTTAGATGCCTACTTGGACTTCACGCTTTCATTCAGCTGTCATCAAGACCAGCTGTGTAGGTTGACCACTCCATCCATACAACCATTTACAGTGTCTGAGCCTCCACGGAGTCTGTGTTATTTGTAACAGCCTGTGGCTTAGAGTGAGGATCGATAACAGAGTGCCTGCTGAGTCTACCGTGAACTTTTCCTAGACGTGTGCTACCTTCCCGACCTGAAATTCATCCACTTTCCATTTTTTCCAGATAACTTGTTCAAGCCCAAAGAAAGGTGCATTTCAGAGAAGGAGATGTACACGCGGTCTAAAAGGTACTGGGGATTGTGTCACGTGGAGCCAAGTGTCTGCTCTGTTAGGGCATGTGTGCAGCCCACCACGTAGAGGGACAGCCCCGCGCAGACTGTCACCGGCCAGAGTCCTGGGCTGACACGTCTCTTTACAGCTGGGGGAGGAGACACTGGGGGTGGCTGAGGGATCTGGTGGGGCCACTATTTCTAGGTCCATATTTAAGGTCTCAGGTCTTCCTGGCCATAAATCTGGAAAGCTGGCTAAAAAGGCGCTTTTGTTACATTTGCACCTCTGAATGTCAGTGCCGCTCTTGGAACGAGCTTAGGAAAGCGGTAGGTCTTGGATTCTGAACTGACCCAGTAACTGGGCTCTGAGAGATCCCGAGACTCTTGACTGGAACTCTCCTGCGCCTTCTTGTCATGGCTCTGGGCAGGTGCCATTTGTCACCGTGCACCTTTGAAGCTCATTTTATGAGGACGAGAGAGGGTGTTTCTCCTGAGAGCCTTGGCTGTGGCGGGGCCTTGAAGGAAAGGGTCCGAACTTGGAAGCTGATGATGCGTGGGAGCCATAGCCAAGGCCCTCAGGCCGGCCTTCCGTGCACTCCCACCACGGCTGCACTCGCTCCCTGTCCTGCCGGCTGGGGGCTGTTCCAGGCTCCCTCTAATTCTCATTGACCCACGCCCATAAAGGCTGCCGTTCTTTCTCAGACCTGCCTCCTAACCCAAACGTTAACAGCAGTGTTGGCCAAGTTTAGGCGAGTAAAGTGCCACAGGGTTAGAATAAAGTGTCTAGCGTTAGGAGTGCTGATAATTAATCAGATCGATTGGGCACTTAGAGGAACTATGGACACGGGAAGAGTACTGTTCCCCCCACCCAGGCACAGTCTCTGCTTCTACCACGATTGTGTCCTTTCCATGGCCATTGGCCAACTTTGATCGTGTGTAGGGACTCTTTGTGGAAATAAGGAAGTGAAAGTGAGGAGAAGGGAGACAGCTCCATTAACAGCCCGAGTCATAGCATTCTAACTGGGTTTTGAAAGGGCCACTGAGTTTTCAGACTTTCTGTTTTAGAAGTACAAGTTTGTGTCTACCTCGTGCCAGAAGCATTCCCTTTCCAATTTAGTGAAAAATTTCAGCCAAGTCCTCCCCAAACCCAAAGCTGCTATAACTGAGCCTTGAAAACTAAGCAATTAAAAGAACAGATCTCAAAGCAGCATCTGTGGAGAGAGAGTATCACCCTATCCTTTCACTGAAGAGGAAACTGAGGGTCAGAGTGGACAAATGAGCTAGGTAATGCTGCACCGCCAGCCCTTGGCATCCGTCGGCTGCAGCCAGGTCTCCTCTGATGGACTCAGTAATTGAGTTTTCACTGTGCTCTGTGGCCTGGGCCCCAGGGGAGCTCTGACCCTGACTCTCAGCCCTCACTCATGTACAGAATCACCCCAGAAGCTCTTTTTGCACTCTTTGTGATTGATTATATTGTGAAATCCCATTTTCATTTTAAAAGTTCAAACAAAGGCAATAAACCTGAAGCCCCTCATGGCCAAGTACCCAACCCTCCTTCCACCCAGCTCCTCAGCCCTTGCCCTATTTCCAGAGACGTCCACAATTATCAGTGTTTTGTGTATCCTTCCAGGCCTTAAATTTTATGTGTACATATACAGTTACACAATTTTAACCATAAATGGGATTGTACTACATATTATTTTTCTACAGCTTGCCTTTTTTTACTTTAAAAAACATCCATGAGCTCTTTCTGGGTCAGAAGATATAGTTGACTTTTCTCATCGGTTTTAGCTATCTGCAGAATATTCCATTGTATGGGTGTACCATACGTTACTGCAGAAGCTCTTTTATGAGAATACTGAATCAGAAGCTCCAGGAATTTTTATCTGAAGCTCCCCAGACAATCCAGATGATCAATACGAGGAAGACAGTCTACATAGGTCTAAAGGAATTTCCACGCAGAACTTGGGAGCATGTCAGCTGCTGACTCGACTGTCTTCTCCCTCTGATGCTTTCCAGCATAGCTGCTGACCGTGGCACTGTGTGCCAGGCACCGTGTAGGCACGAGCATTTCCCGAACTTCATGGGCTGCTTTTTCGCTATGTGATCGGGAGACGGTGTTAATGTAGCGATTAACAGTCAAACAGACCGAGGTTCAAATCCCAGCCCACCGGATCCAGCAGACAAGTCTCCTGACCCCTCTGGGCCTTGGACTCCTCATCTATACAACAGTGGGATGTTAACAGGCCTCTTGCAATTGTTGCAAAGATTGAATGAGATCATTCATGTCAAGTGATTAGCCTAGTGCCCGATATCCAAGATGCCATCTGCTAATATTGCCATTGTCACTTGTTTTTATTCTTTGTTATTATTATCTGAACAGTGGACCATCTTAAACAGATTCTGTCTGGCTTTCTGACAGGAGAAAGTGATGTCTGAGCTGAGTGCCGAGAGTATAGCAACCCAAAAGCTCAGGCTACAGTGATTCTCCTGCGTCAGTGGATTCCAGCAGAAGTACCCGTTGGCGTCGGTGCATGGACAGTTTCTATTAGGAGTCAGGAAGAAGTGCCTAGCAGAGGGGTCCCTTGGGTCCTGCTTGTAACTTGGCAGCTCCCAATTTACACGGGGGCAAGAACCTAATGCCTGTGCCTGAGATCTTGCTGGAAGTGGCTTAATTTAGAAACACAATAGGTTAAGTGGTAAAAATCATACACATACAAGTGTGTTTTATTCCAGTATAAATTCTGCCACTTCCGTTTATTTCCTGCTCATTTTCCAAGGCACAAGAAGGCAAAATTCGTGTGGCAAAAAGGTATTTTTATGTAGACTTTTTTTTTTTAGAGCACTTTTAGGTTTACGGAAAAGCTATGCAGAAATCAGAGCATTCCTGTGCGCCCCCCTGCCCCCGCACACGGTTTCCCCTGTCACTCACACCTGGCGTTCAGGTGGGACATTTGTTATAACTGGTGAACCGGCATCGGTACCTAAGTATTCACTGAAGCCCGTAGTGGACACCAGGGTTCCCTCTCTGTGTGGTGCGGTCCTGTGGGCTTTGACAAACCCATCACACTCTATGTCCGCCAGGACAGCATCGTGCAGGATAGTTTCCCTGCCCTTACAAACACCTGGGGCGCAGGGCGTTTTCACAGAGGTGTTTGGGGGCAAGGCAGAAGGTTTGGAACCCTCCATGTGCAAGTATGCGGTTTTTATCACAGAGCATGGAGGGACAAGGAAAGTAACTTCTAAACACATAAAGGGCCTGTCAGCCTCGCTCTCCGTGTGCTCTGCCTGCTGAGCAGCTGCACTGCCCTGGGAGGCCCGAGACAGGGCGTCCTCACCTACCACGCAGCCCCACTCTGTGACTGTAGGGAAGCCCTGGGTTCTAGCATCGCAGAATTTCGGGGCAGCCCGAATGCAACTCATCTTCCCTTTGAACTGTAAGCGCTGCTGACCAGACGGGCTGCATCACCACCACAGGCGCGCGTCGCGCGCCGCCACTCAAAATGTTTTGTGGTCTGTTTCAGAATCTATAATAACTTGCCGGAAGTTAAAAAGAAAAAAGAAGAACAAAAGAAAAGGGGGATCTTACAGAGTAACAGGCTCCGTGCCGAAGTCTTCAAAAAGGTAATGGCTTGGCCGCCCGCGGGTGTGTCAAGGGTGCGGAGCAGGGATGCAGGATCTGAACGTGACATCTTTGTTTTCCTGCCTCTCCAGCAATTACTGGACCAGCTCCTCCAGAGGAACGCAGTCTAACGCAGCCCACCCTGCCAGCCGCACCACAGGATCTGGGATGACTCTGGACTGGACAAGCCATTAAAGTTCATGTTATCTTCATTCTGCAAAAACACTTCATCTACTTTTGATTTTTTTTTTTTTTTTAATAAAGGGAAAGATAGCTTCCTGAGTTACCAACCCAAACCACACAGAGGTAGAAACCCTGGAAGGCAACAGGTCAGCAGATGGGTGCCTGCCTGGCAGGGGGCCATCCTCTGTATAGCCTGCTGGCACACCACCTGCAGCTTTCACTTCTGAGTTTTACCCTTGGCATCTGATTTTTTTCCCCTCTACCATTTCCACCCGGGCGGAAAGGCCTTATATGCTCAGATGGGCTTAGATCCCTGGGAGATATTTTTTCATCAAATTCCTAGGACCAAAATCCATCACTTTTTTAGTACCAGTCCCACCTCCTGCCTCCCCCTCAACCCCCAGATTTCTGGGCATCATCCAGTATATTTAAAAACCCTCTGGACTCGTGCTCCACATAATACCAGGAGCGGACTTGGAAGTAAGTGGGCGCTGTAGAGGAGACCATGGAGCATGCAATCTGCTGCTCTGTCACCAGCGTAGCCATAGCCCCCTCAGCCACCCCCACCCACTCATAGCACCCCGCTTCATCAGCAGAAGAGTCTGTTTTAATGGAAGCAGCGAGAGCAGAACTAGCTGAATAAAAGTGCGGATAACGTCAGTGTTTTCTGCACACACACCTCCCCCACCCCTACCAAAAGCTGTGTTGCTAAAAAATGTCCAGAGGGCTCCGACTCTGTGATTGGTTCCTTGAAACATCCACCATGTCCACGCTTTATCAACCGAGTGCTTGGGGAGTAAGAACAAACTAGTTTTTAACATAAAAAATGGAAATAAACATGATTATAAGAAAAACAAAAGCATCTTTATTTGATTTCTCTGTCATGGACGGAGCAGCCACTAAGGAGAATGCTCAGTGTGAAACACCGCCGAGGGCCAGCGGGTCCAGGTCAGCCTCCGACCTGCTTCACTCCTCCTCTGCCCTCTTCCCACCACGGAAGCCCAGGTCCATCAGCTCTGTGCTTCCAGATGCCCCCATTGGAGACGTCATCTGCCAGGGAGCTAAAGAAGCAGCCATCTAGAAAGCATCATCTGTTTCTCTTACAGGATCTCTCCAGCTCCCTCTACTGGCAAAGCTCAACATGGTGCAGCTGGCAAAGGGCAAATACGTGAAGGACCTGGATCCATTTTAACAGAGCAGGCAAAAAGGGTGAATTTACTTGAGACATAGTAAAATCAGTAACTAGCACAGCAAGTTGTTTAACTTTGCCTCATTTTTCTCATCTATAAAATGGAGATAATCGTGATGCCTCCTTCACAGAGTTATTGTCATTGTTGTTAGCTGCTGTCGAGATGACTCTGACTCAGCAGCCTTTTGTATAACAGGACGAAACATTGTCCGGTCCTGTGCCATCTTCTCATCTTCCAGCACTACATCAGACAATGTTCTGTGTGAGCCCTAGGGTTTTCACTGGCTGATTTTCAGAAGTAGATCACCAGGCCTTTCTTCCTGAGCTGTCTTAGTCTGGAAGCTCTGCTGAAACCTGTCTACCATGGGTGACCCAGCTGGTGTTTGAAATACCAGAGGCATATCTTCTAGCATCATAGCAACGTGCAAGCCGCCACAGTACAACAAACTGACAGCCGGGTGGTGGGTAAGGTTGTTATGGGACTATAAGAAGTCAGTGTGTATTGAGTGCTAAGAAGAATGTTGTTACTGTGTGCCATCAAGTTGATTCTGACTCACAGTGACCCTATAGGACAAAGCAGAACGCCCCATAGGGTTTCCCAGGCTATAATTGTAATTACAGGAGCAGATCTCTGGGTCTTTTCTCCCGCAGAGCCACTGGTGGGTTTGAACCACATACCTTTTGGTTAGCAGCTGAGCGCTTAACCATTGTGCCACCAGAGAAGAATGCCTACCCCCAAACAAACACAACTTGAGTGTCTCCTTCTATGAGTGGAGGTAGAAAGCACGATGAGCATAGGAGCCCTGAGTTACCCCGTTAATTCCACAGCTTGGTATTGCCATCAAGTCGTCCTATAGAACGGAGTAGAACTGCCCCATAGGGTTTCCAGGGAGTGCCTGGTGGATTCGAACTGCCAACCTTTTGGTTAACAGCTGAACACTTAACCACTGCTCCACCAGGTACTGGGTAGGTGCCCCCAAAGACCACTGAATCCGTGGTTGGTGTTGCTACAGCAAGAATCCATTATGCAGATGGAACTCCCCATACCCCTGTGAGGGCTGACCACAGACAGACTTGTCTGCACGCCCGCCCCAACCTGGGTGGGATGCTTTGCAAACTGCTATTATTTTCTCTCTTGTTCTTCTCGCTCCTAGAAACCATTCTAGCAGCAGAGTAAGCTTACCCTTAAGGCTAATTCCTGCTCTCTTGAACTTACTCAGAATCTTCTGGGATGCTACACTGAATTTCTATTTACATTTCTAATCTAAAATAAACATTTCTAGTCAAATCTATGCTATTAGCTGAGGACAATTTTTCTTGATAAAGATTCTGATGCAGTTTTTGCTGGTTTCTCTTTCAATATCTTCGGAGTTCCCAAAGCCCTTCCTAATCAATACTTTAAATTCCGGGCCTGACCATTTCTAGGCTGCTGTGTGACACTTTTCAAGAAGTGAATTTACGTCGGCGAACGTACAGCTACCTCGAGGAGAAAGCCTGAGGGGAGCCAAAGTTCAAAAACACCCATGGAGATCGTCCCCCCTTAGCACACCTGACACCAGTCTTCAAATCTAAGGAATAAATGAAAGTCGCGTTGAGATTGAAGACCATTGAGTAATGTTTTTCTGAGGACGGTTCTTAACTAAGGTGCCTGAGGTGGTGTAACAGATAACAACACTCGATGTGTGGTGTGAGCTGGTCTTCTCTGGGCGGCCACCTCCAGTCAATGCAGGACATGAAAGGTTTGGTTTCTGTAGAACTGTTTGTTTTTTTCCCCTATTATTGTTTTTGTGGTGGCTGTTTTGCTTGGATTTTATGCTAGAGAGTGAATTTCAATATCCAACATTTCTTTTCAGTTATAGTAAGGTTATAACAGAAATACAATAATGTTATAATAAACACAGCCGGGAAGGATGTAGAATCGTTAATAACTGTCATCCCTTCTATTCCTCTCAGGAATTGGGCCATTTCCTGGATTCTCTTATTAAAATCAGACTTCAGGAAGGACTTTGAGGATGTTGAAAATTCTTAATAGAATTTGCCATTGTAACTTCAGTAATCAAAGCCCGCTCTTGCGTTGATCTGTTTGGCTCTGCGTGTGTTTTGGTCCTGGCAGGGGACAGTTCTCCACCGGTGCAGTAGGTAGCGGGCCTCAGAGACGGTTGGCTTATGTTACAACGAGCTCAGACCACACCACACTGGAACCGTTTGGGAAGTCCAGGCCGTAGGTAACAGTCACAGCTGCTTCACCGCGGTCTCCATGACTTCACATCGAAGGAGAAATTCCTGTTTTGGTGATCTGTCCTCCCCGCCAGCTGGTAATGGAATAATGGAAAAGCAACCGCCTTAGGATTTTCAGCCCGTGTCTCCTGCCAACCGAGCTTCCTGGAAGCTGTGTGTTCCCGGGTGAGTCAGCAAACGTTTGCCGAGACTAGGAAGACCTACTCATGAAACGACCAATTGTTGAAGAGTGGCTGCAAATTCTGTCAAGAAGTTCTCCTGTTTCAACACTTGGTATAAAAATCGCAGGCACTGAGCCTGGTCCCCAACTATGAGGCGTGTCAGACGCAGGACAATGGCTGGCCGTGCGGGGACGGGGCGGCCCTCGGGAGGTATCTGAGAGCTGGTGCCTGAGAGCTCTGGGTTTGTGTGGCGGGTGTGTGTGAGCGTGTGATTGCCCATGGAAAGCAAAGCAAACAGTGAGGAAGATGAGTATGTCGGTGGAAGGTTCACCTTCGAGAGTTCACCCCATTTGTACTCTTATACAGGAGCGTGAGTTACCCACAAATGCCCAGCTCTGGTAGAGTCCCCGTGGGCTGGCTGTCCCGGGCCCTGTCTGGCCTGTCCGTGCCAGTTTCCACCTGGAGGAGAGCTGGCCGAGAACCCGAGAACTCGGTGAGCGTCGGCCGGCCCCCCTCCCAGCCAGCCTGCTGTCTAGAGAGAGCTCACTCCCGCAGATGTGTTATCCACATGGAGCATAGCAACAGCTCTGGCAAGCCTCCCCCGGAACGGAGGGTTTTGTTTGGTTTTTTTAAAAGTGGTGTTGGCTGCCTGAGGCACAGTTCTGATGCTAAGACCCCAAGAGGCTGTCTGAGGTAGCTGTCTAGGAGGGAGGGTGGGGGGAGCTGCTGAACTTCTTCCCTTTTTCTTCTTGCTTCTCTGCGGAGGTCTCATAGGCATGTCCTGGATGCTTCAGACCTGCAAGTGTGCAGAGGGACTGGGGGCTCAGAGCCGTGTTTCTCGGGTCTTAGGGCATCGGGACCTGAGGGGGAGGAAAGGGAAGGCTTCACGTACCACTGAGATCTTAAAGGAGTCCCTAGGGGTGCAACCAAAAGGTTGGAGGTTCGAGTCCACCCAGAGGCACTTTGGAAGAAAGACCTGGTGACCTGCTTCTGAAAATTCAGCCACTGAAAACCCTGTGGAGCACAGTTCTGCTCACACACGTGGGGTCGCCACGAGTCGCAGTCGACTTGACAGCACGTGTGACTGGTTCATTCTTATCAAAGCTTAAAAGAGAAAGGAGCTTATGATCTAAATTGCAGCTGAGATTCAAAACAAAAATCATGAAGGGTTCCTTTAAATCATTTTTATTCAGCAGCGCCAAAAGTGAAAGACAGGGGAAAAATGTCCTTTTGATGACTTTCAGAGCGTGCTTCTTTGTTCAGCTCTCTTCACTTCCTGGTGTGCCTGAGATGGAGCCACAGCTGTTACTGGCAGCCACCAGTGTTAACCTCGGACGAGGTGTCACGTCCCTTCACCAAC